ATTCTGGGACAGGGCCTGCGTCTCTCCAGAAATGGAATCTTGTTGACCCACAGGCCTGGCCCAGGCTGGGCCACATGGCAAGTCTGTGTCTACGTGTCTTATCTGACATGAACCAGTTCTTCACCCAAGTCCACCGCTAGAGATAAAACAGACCCACCCCTGGGGACTCTGCAGCCCACTGAGGTCAGAGGGACCCTGGGGGTGTGTGAATGGGAGGCATCCTCTAAATACAGGGGACTGTATATGCTCCCTACCCATGTCACACTCTGATCCTTGCCCAGGAGCCCTAGGGGACATACTGAATCCTCTCCAGCCTGGCCTGACACATTTCCCCACCTCACTGGCTGACAGTGAGACTTGGGGGTCTCAGCTGTCCACCCTAAGCACCTTCCCCCTTGGTCCCTGTCTGTCCCCGCCCTAAATCCAGGGTCTGGCCCAGGGATCTTTGAGAGGCAGACAGGCCACCCCTCCCATGCCAGGAACCATGTCCACCATGACTGGCTCAGCCTGGGCTGGACGCCACCTCCCTCCACCTTTTACCCACAGGCAGGAACATTTCTAGTATTTTGAGTCAAAGGAAATGTGGCTGCAGCTGTCCCACCTTGGGCCCACGGTAACAAGCAACTCCAGGAAACCACAGAGGACACCCTTCTTGGTGCATCAAGGAGCAGGGCCTCAGGCGGCAGCCCTGACCTTCCCCCATTCTTCAGCAGCACAAACTGAGGCTGGAGGAGAGACGCCAGCTCCCGGGTGGGGCCGGATGCGCCCAGGAGCCCAGCCTCCTTGGGGGCTTGAGAAGGCAGGCACCAGACCCAGGAGAGTGCCGCACCTGCCTTATAAGGCAGCCTTGGGGAGACTTGGCTGCTGTCGCAGTGGAGCCAGAGGGGAGTGGCCCTGGGGGTGGGGGAGGTGGAGCAGGCAGCCACCCACAAGGCTGGGTTCTGGTTCTGCAGCCCAGCCCCACCCAGAGACAGAGAGGACCGCGATGACCCTGAAGGGCCACAGGAAGCTGCCAAGTGGAGGGACAGGCTGACCTTGGACACCAAAAGTCCCATCGACAGCACAAGGCTCAGCCCTGGCAAGCACAGAGGTGGGAGCTCAGACCTGCCCTTGGCCCCCCCCATCTCCCCCATTTCTATTGCAAGCATCTAGGATTTCCACTTTCTTTCCTGAAATGTTTACCCCACCAGGAACCCCACCCCAAGCCAACATCCTGCCCAGAGAACTCCTGGAGTTTCTGTACTTCCACCCCACCCCTACCCAGCCCCGGGGGAACAGCCAGCCCGTAGGTAGAAGGCACCCAGTGAGAGAAAGCATCTTCGCCATCCCAGGAGCCCAGCGAGTCCCTGGGAGCCTAAGGTGCCTCCTTAGAGGGCCACCCAAGCTGTTTGCCTCTCAGCACCCACATACGTCATTGCAACACCCTTTTACTGAGCACATATTGTGAGATTCTCTATGAAAAATAAAGACCACAGCTCCTCGAGGACCCTAGGCTGGGGTTGGGGTGTGACAACTGTGAAGAACATGGACCCCAAATGTCAAGGATATATAACTCTGGCTTACAGGAAATTATAGAATTTAGAATTTTCACTTTCTCTATTTTCTGCATTTCAAAGGAAGAGTAGTATATTACTTTTTATAATTTGAAAAACTGTATTTACATTGAAAAATAGTCTAGCAGAGGAAAAAAGGCTCATACACAAATAATTTACATCTCAAGGTGGACACCAGGTCCTCGCAGGAGAATGAGGCCAAAGTGGTCAGCAGTCAGAGGAAGTGAGGCTAGTTTTGGCCTCAGGAAAAATGTATAGGAGCTAGAGGGATGCATAGGAGTTCAACAAAGTAATCATGGAAAAGAAGGATGGGAGTCAGGACAGAGGAGCTGTGAGGACCATGGGGCAGGCGACACTGGGGGCGGGGCTGGGAGAGCCCAGCAGGGCTCTGGTGAGTGAGCAGATATACACAGGCTCGGGCTGGAGTGGATTTCACCCGTGCTGTTCTAAGTCAGCCTAGAACCGCTCAGGCTAGGAGGCGCTCAGCTGGGACCCCAGGAGACCCCAACCAAGGGCACAAACAGGGGTGAGGGCCTGATTCAAGGACACAGAGATTCCCTTTAGGTCTGGATCTGAAATCTCCCAGGAAGGGCTCAGAGTGCGGATTTGGGGAGGAGACCGGATCACAAAGCCATGGGTTCAGCCATGGACAGGTTCTTAGGTGATGGACACTTAGGAGGTGGGGCTAGTTGAAGGGAGGGGTCGCAGGGCTGCGCCCAGCCCCTTCCTAGCTGCCTGTCTGTATCTCTTCCTCTCTCTTCCTCCTGGCTGCCTTAGGTGAGCCGCTTTGCTCCAGACCACAGCCCAGAGCCAGGTGATCCTGGATTGAAAGCAGGAGCCAAAACAAAACTTTCCTCCTTAAATTCTTCTCAGGCAACGCAAAGCTGACTCCCGAACCCTCCCTCCCATCCTTCCCCAGGCGAGACCAGCTGTACCTGGGGGCAGGGCCAGGACGGCTAAGGACAGCATGCAGAGAGGAGCCTTCGGGGAACTGGGCACTTCCAACCCAGCCCCCACGGAGGGCCAAGGCAAGAACTGGGTCTATAGGAAAAAAGGCAGGAAGCCAGCAGGGGCGAAGCAGGACGGCCCCGAGATGGGACAGCTGTGGTCAGAGGGGAGGAAGAGGGAGCAGGAGGGGGGCCTTGGAGGAGGGGAGGAACTGGGGGAGACTCAGAGCAGGACCCTGAGGAGAGGGCCCTGTTTCACCCCACCCTTGTGCAGGTACTCTGGGCCGTTGGCCCCAGTGCTCTCCCCACAGGGCTCTGGGTCGCAATGGTGTGCACAGTCCACTCTCAGCACATGTACCTTCTGCACACAGACAAGTTCCAGCACTCACGGGCTTACAGAGCTCCTGGCCCGCTGCGTCCTACATTTGGGCCAGGCTCCCACAGCATTCTGTCACTGCCCCTCCACATCTTGCCCATAGCTAAGCTCTGTCCCTGTGCAAAAGCAGCGGCTGAGCTGTGTCCATAGGAGGAAGATGGGCATCCTCTCCTGTGTCCCCTGACTGCGGCCCTGAGCAGATGCCCCTCCTCCACCGACCTGTCCCTCAGAGCTTGCACCACCTCCTGCTGCATCCAGCGCCAGCTGTCATACAGATCTGGGGCCAGTGTCGTCCCAACCACATCCTGTTTGACTCAGCAGAGTGTGAACACCTCAGCCTGGGAGGGGTGTATCCGGTGGTGGATCAGATAAAGGTCCTGGACACAGAAACTGGTGAGGGAGAGGAAATGCCCCTGGCCTCTGCACACACCTTTGTCCCGACACCAAGACACCTGCACTCAGGACCCCTGAGTCTGGGTTGATGGGCAGAGACCTCTGAAGGCTCAGGTTTAGAGAGATGGGAGAAGCAGAGACGCATCCAGGGCTGGGAAGAGCCTGCAAAGGCCCACGAGCCCATAGCTGCTCCAGTGCAGTGATACCTCGGTAAAGCATCAGAGCTCAGACCTCCACACCCTCTGCACCCACGCCCCAGGCTTCCCTCCATACCCACACAACCCCGCAAAAGCCTCATTCCCAAAGGAAACCAAAAGAAGCCAGGACTTAAAGATCTGTGTGTGCACCCAAGCTAGAGCAGCAGTGTTCGCAACAGCCAGACGCTGGAAGCAACCCGGGTGTCCATCAGAAGATGAAGACAGAAAGTGTGCACCACACAACCAGCCTGGCACCCCCAGCCCTGGGAGCCCAGTGCCATCTCATCCATGCTATGGCATGGATGAGAATGGAGGGCATCGTGCCAAGGGGAAACCCAGACACAACAGGACAGAGACTGTGTGATGCCACTTCCATGATGCCCCAGAGTCATCCAACCCAGAAGGATGGAAAGGCGGACAGGGTTGTTGGGACCTGGGGGACAGAATAACAGGGAGGAGGTGTTAAACGGGGACAGCGCTTCTGTCCGGGCTGTGGAAAGTCCTGGGGTGGGGGAGGCAAGGAGGATGGCACAACCCTGTGGACATGCTTAGCAGGTACTCTCTTCAGCACAGCGCACAGGGTCACTTCTACATTAGGCATATTCACCACAGTTAAAAACTGTCACAATAAGGTACACCAAAACAAGACTGCTCAGGATGGCTAAGCCAAAGAACGCTTACCGAACATATATGGAATTCTGACTCCACGTCCAGAAATGAACTCAACTTTCAAGGGGCAGAGAACTCTGGACATGGCCCTCAGGGGCTCGTGGGCGAGGCAAACACACCTTTGAGAAGGGTCAAGTAATACTCAGCCCTGGTGGTCCCAAGAAGACCCAGGTCCCCATGGCATGGTGCCATCTTCCTTACAAGCTCTCCACACCTCACATCTCCAAGTCTGAGCTCTGCAAGAACACTGCTCAGCGGCTCGCCTGCCTCCCTGAAACCAAAGTGTATGCAGGGATCACCTGGGGACCTCAGCCATAAAATCCTAGCACATCGCCACTGGGGAGTCAGGGGAGAAGAACGAAGACCTAGACAGTCAACACAAGAGGACCCTCCAGTGCAAAGCAGAGCCGGAGACAAGTCCTCTCCTGGCAGGCAGCCTGCAGCTCCTCTTGAGCAGGGCCTGCCTCCCGTAAGGCCATCTGCTAGCCCAGGAGTCTCAAGAACACGGGCCCACCTGCAGTGCTCAAGCCCACCTGCAGAGCCCAAGCCCATCACGTCCCATCCCCCTAAAGGATCCCCCAATAGTTCCTGTTTGAAGCACCATTTTCATACCTTCTAGGTGCTCACTGTCCCAGGACCATACCCCCACCATGGCCCATGTTGACTAACAAAGGAGACGCTTGGCAACCCAGAGATTCTTGTCAAAGTCTCACGCATGTGCCCACTGGCTGTATTTTGGTGTGGCCCCTGGGGACAAGGAGCTAGTCACACTTCTCCAAGTCCTAGGCCACGGCTATACGAATTCCGCCATTTCTCCCCCACCCCCAACCCTGCAGCCTGGAGGGCCCTGTGCTCTGCCACTCACCCTCCTGGTTCCGGGGCAGGGTTTCAGCCACAGTTGGCTTGGCTTCTAGCCTGCTGTGCAGCTGGGACACTGAGGCAGGCTCAGAATTTTCCAGGGTCTGGGATGGGAGGGGAACAGCAGGTGCCTCAGCTGGTTTAGGCATCTGGATCTCAACCCTCTTTGGGGATGCATCAATGGTAGGGGCAACAGGCACCTCAGGAACCTTGGAGGTGGGGGTCTCCATCCTGCGGTGGGCTGTCTCCTGAGGCTTGACGAGGGTGATCTCCGTCCTCCGAGGGGCTGGCTCTGGCGTCTTGTGGCCCAACCCTTCAGCCCTCTTGAGCCCAAACCGTGCTGGGCCAGTGACACCTGAGGTCTCCACCTGCTTAGAGGAGATGTCAATGGAGAGCTCTGTGCGCCGTGACACAGGTTCGGCCGCCTTGGGCCCCGCAAGCTCGACCCTCCGCAGAGAGGGTTTGGGGGAGCGCTGGCTTAGGGAGTCTACATGGCGGACTGTGGGCTCTGAGTTCTTCACACCCAGCTCCTGGAATTTCTGGGTGGAGCTGGCCACGGTGGTACGGAGCAATGGAGTCTGGACCCTCCGAGTTGGGGTGGAGTTGGGTGGCTCGACCTCCTCAACCTCGAAAGATCTCTTCAAGGCTGAAAGAGAGAGGAGAACAGATGAGTGGTCAGCAGGGGACATGGCATGTGGGTGGTTTGTGCTGAAGAGAATCAGGGAGGGTCAGGATGCAAGAGAACCAGCAGGACCACTCTGAAGGATGTGCAGGGACCAATGGCTGAGAGACACTGGATGGGAGAGGACGCTGGCCTCTCCCCTCTGCCATAGCTATGACACAGCCTGTGCAGCTTCCCTCAGGACACATCAGGACACAGAGGGATGTTCTGGCTCACAGGCAGTCTTGGATTTCCTCTTCCGGCTTTCCAACCCTCACCTTCCCCACAGCTCACAGAGACCATAGGCAATTAGCACCCTCACTGCCAGTTGCAAGGCAGAGCATGACAAGACAACCATGACCACAGCCATAACCACTGAGAATCCCTGAAGGACATCGCATCAAGGGTACCCCAACAGCTGGCCCTGGACTTCGACTGGCTAAGTGTTGGTGTTACTGAGGTGGGTCACATTTACTCACAACCTGTGACACAAAGGATATTATTCCCTTGATATCAATGGGGAAACTGAGGTAGGGAGTACCATAGCAATGTGCCTGGCAGAGGGCTGGTCTGTCTCTGAAGTCAAGGCCCCAGGCCCTGGCTTTGCCCAGCTCCCCAGCTCGTCCACACTAGCTGAGTTCAGCCCTCCTGCTCTACCGCACAACCTCAGTATGGTCATGCAGGACGCTGACCACCTAGCTCTCCCCGCCATGGCCCAGTGTTCTGGCCGGGTAATCCTGCCACCTCCACCCAGGTTGTGCACCCCTCGAACAGCGGGACTGGGCGGAGGAAGCCACCATCCTCATGTCCCACAGACCCAAATGAGAACACACAAACCAGAGCCACATGTAGAAACATTCTCCAGCTCCTCCCCAGAGCAGCCCAAGGCTTGCTGCCCCACCCCAGAGCCAGGGTTACCTCTGCTATGTCCTCCCCCACCCACAGGGAAAAGGCCCCTGCAATTGCTCTGCGGGACCCTTAGCGGCAGCTCCTCCCTCCTGTCTTGTTTCCTCCAAATGCACACAGGGCTCTCACCTCTACTGTGCACGGCTATGTCCAGCACTTCCTTTAGAGGACCAGAGGCGGGAGACTGGCTGACGGGCAAGAGGAGGGGAAAGGCAGAGGAGGTCTGCGTCCCTGACGTCCCCCCCAGGACACTCCTGTTTTCCAGACATGGTCCTGGGTACCCCTCCTTCTTGTGGGACACACAATGGGTGGCTCAGCTTCCACTCTCCCAGAGGCCAGGCAGAGACACTATCAGCTGAGCAGCAAAGTGTGGCTGGGTGGGGACCAGCAGATTCCAGGGAAAAGGTAAGTCCCAAGCACTTGCTCTCAGTGGGCAGATGCTGCTCAGCCAGCAAGACCTGAGGGAACTCAGCCCTCCGGCCTCTCACTGAAGTCAAGGAATGTGGATTTTCATATCATACTGTATTTCTCAACTTTTAAATTTTGGCACTAATCAAAACAGCCCCTTTCCCTTTTTGAGTCAAGGTCTTGCATGGTAGTTTGGGCTGGCCTTGAACTCACTATGTAGGCAGGCCAGCCTGGCCTTGAACGTATAGCCATCCTCCTGCCTCAGTCTCCCGAGTGTTCCACTACGCCCTGCAACGAGCCCGGTTTTAAAACACTGCACAGTGCAGCCCACCTGAATCACACCCGTGGACTCCACTTGCCCAAGAGCCAGCCAGCAACTTGATGACAGGGTCTGGAGTCAGAAAGCCTGGCACTGGCACTCCAGATCACAACCTGGCAAAGTTTCCTCCCCGTTGCACTGGTGACCTTGATGTGCCCTGCATACAAACTGCCCACACTGACTCTAAGAAGCCTGCGAGTTCTGGGAAAGGTCATTTGCGGGCTCTCGCTGGCCAGCAAGTGCAAACACCATGCTTGGAGCTTTGTCCCTTTGTGGTTCTAAGAAGCAGCATTGTAACTCAGCTGCAGAGCACGTATCTGGCACACATAAGCCCCTGGGTTCAATCCCAACATCACCAGCAAAAAAGAAAAAAAGAAAAAGGCGTCCTTCTAAGAGAAAGGCAGGGGTAGTTGGAAGGCCCAGAAGAAAGGCCATGTGAAGGTGCAGGCACACCAAGGTGCAGCCCCAGCACAATGGACGGCCCTCCTGCAGATTGCCCAGAGAGAGAGCGGTCCTGCCGATAGCTCACCCTCAGCCCTCTGGTCCCGGAACTCAGCAGCAATCAGTGTGTGCTGTTGAACCACCACATTCCCATAAGCTGTCACAGAGGACAATGACAGGACACTGACACGGAGGCCTCGGGGAAGATGAAGCTCTGGGTGACGCAGCCATCGGGGACCTTGCTCTGTGTCCTCACCCACTCTCCACTCGGCCCCACTCCCGCCCCAACCACTCAGCAGACCTCTAACCTCGGCCCAGGGCTCCCCTGCAGCTGCCTCCAGGAACCCCGAGGAAGGACAGCCGCCCCCAAAGACTCCAGATGGTAGAAGTTGTCAGAGGACAGTATCGCTCTGGGTTCCACTGCACACTTGGCAAGAGTACAAGATCACGGTCTAAGGGGACCCCTGTGTGCAATGGTCTCCCACAGAGGGCTTCATGAAGAGCACCCAGCCAGGAAAATTAGGAGACACCTTGTCACGAGGCTGGCATCACAGAGCTCCCTGGGATGTCCTCCCTCAATGGCCCCTAAAACAGCCCCTGCATCCTGCGCCCACATGTACAGACACCTCCTTTTCCCTATATGAAACTTCAATGGAGACACCCCTCCAGCGTCAAGCCGGGACATGACCTGCCACAGGGCCAGAGTTCTCATGAATTGCCTCCCCCTTCCCTGAGGAAGGAAAGGCAGCCAAGGGACATCTGTGTGTGGTCAGAGGCCAGCAAGAGTGCTCATTCATGAGCTCCTCATGTGCAGATCTGAGACTCTGGTGGGGCCACACATCAGATTCCAGGACCAGCAAGGCAGAACATCAGCCTCTTGTGGGACCAACATGTCTTCCTGAGCACAGAATTCCTGTCATATAGAGTTAGCACAACTAAAGAGACCCACAGCAGCGGGACCAGGTCATACTGGGATGTAAGACAGTCCCACCCCAGGTCAAGAGGGATACCTTGGCCCAATTTACCCGCCTCTGTGGACATGCGTCCCTCCAGAGCCAGGCTTAGCCTAGCCTGCTCCGAGAGCCTTTCTCAGGCCTTCTTGCCCCTCACTGTCCTCAACTTGCACCAAAAACCTGAAGCCGGATCCCATGCTCCGGCCCACTTCTGGGAATGGATCCCAAGGAACGAGCAGAGAGGCACAGAAAGATTTATGGACCATGCCATTCACATCAGCTTAAACACTGCCAACGTTGGAAACAATCTGGGTTTGCATAGATCCACTAAACCATGTGTCAAAGTTGTGCACTCATCAAATCATGTTCAAGAAGATGAGAAATGCCAAGGGTATTAAATAAAAATAGCAGGACACGACATGTATATGAGATCCCAGTTCCACGTCTCACACACATGTGCAGTTCACACGCACACATGCGTTCCCACCCTGGCAGGAGATGACTTCTCCGGATGGAATGATGGTGGGTGTTCCTCAAGAGACCTCCCAGCCTCGTGGCCAACCCTAAACGTGGGTCCCTTCGATTTCAGGGCTTGAACAGCTGACACTCTCTGCAGACACACGTTGCTGCACACAAGCTGGAGGATGTGGATAACTCTGCTCACCGGCATCCCTGCCTGCTCCCTGGATTACATCTCCCAGCCCACTGGTTTTCCAAAGTCCAAGCTGGGTGCTTGGCCTTTTCCCATCCATCAGGAACCTATAGGCTCAACCACTACACGAAGAGGCCATAGTGGTCTTCCTCCAGATACAGGCCTTCCTGGCTGGGCCTGTGGGGGGCCGAAGCAGGAGCAGCCTGGATCTGGGCCTGTTTATAGAGAGGAATGTGCCACGCACAAGGGACCATTGTTCAGGCCTCTGCTCTGACCGCAGGCTGCTGCAAACCTCATCGGCTCCTGAAACCAGATGAAGTACTTCCTGGTGTACAAATTGGGCCTGGTCTGGGAAGGGGAGAGGAGGAGAACCACAAAGCCCTTCCCCAGCCTGGGACAAATGTCTTGCAGAAGAATGTTACAGTCAGAGTCAAACAGATCCAAGTGCAGTCCCCCCAGGAGGGAACGCACTGAGCTCTGAGCATAAGCTTCCTCTACTCTGGTCAAACTCAGCCTCCCTGCTGAGGCAGCAAAGCAGGGTCTGATGCCCGGGAATCAGGGAGATGGCACCAATGGAGACACTGCCCTGTTTGCAGCCCTGATCTTACCAGAATGCCCCATGCACAGGTTAACAACACAACCTATTGATGTTCAGAGTGCAGCCGCAAACTCCACTGACCACAGCCACCCTGTTCTGAGATTCCTTTGAGTGCCGGGCACAGGCACCGATCCCTGCTCAAGGCAGTGAGGTGGGGTAGTGGGCAGGGCCCTGGACTTGGCAGAGCTGGACTTAGCTGTGAGGATCCCCCTTTCCCACCCCACCTGCCAGCAGGGAAGGCAGAGGAAGAATCCATAAGAAATAACATGCCAGTCCTTCCAAGAACAGGAATGGTGGCCCAAAGCTGACTCGTGGTAGGGGGTTGGGGGCTGAGGACGGAAGCGTAAAGCAAGGGCAGGAAGCATTTCCTGGCAGGTGGAAGTACAAGCAAAGCCTGCCGCCCTCCAGAGCTCAAGGGAGGACCTGGCCTGTGGCTTGATACAGACAGTGAGCCTCTGCTCCAGGTCAGCAGCAAGACACCCAGCAGGAAAGAGCTAACAGAGAGACAGCCACAGCAAACTCCTCTGAGCCTCAGGGGCCTCGCCTAAACCAGCACCCCATGCAGCCGACATGAACAGGCTAGGAAGCACCAGACACAGACATGGTGCTCAGAAATTACGGCTGCTTCATCTAATCCCTATCACCACTGCCAGAGGAGCAGCCAACAGGGCCTGAGGCCCCCATCAGCCTTACTGCTACAGAGCGGTG